TTGGGTGTGTGAGGGGAAAAATGGCCCCTGTCTTAGAGCTACAAGACTCAGTTTGCCCCAGATTCATTTCAGAGCCCAATCTCAGCAGGAAAGTGCTTCCAGTAGTGGGGAGGTTGGGGCTAGTGGATCTCTGGTGATGGGGAGGTGCTGGTCAGGCTTAAGGGAAGGTGAGGAGAGTGGCTCCTGTCCCAGAGCCACACCAATTTGTCCATCCTATAATCTGCCCAGTCTTCAGCATGGTGGAGCCATCAGGAGTCAGGAGAGTGGGGCTTCCAGGAGGAGCCTGGCAACTGGGGCTAGCAGATCTCCTATGAAGGGGAGGTGTCAGTAGGGTCACGGGAAAGTGAAGGGAATTGCTCCTACTTCAAAGCCACACAACTCAGTTACTGACACCTCCTTCAGTCTGCCCAGACCTCTACACTTCAGCCAAGGCAACTGACTCTTCAGCAGGGCACAAGCTCTGAAGGGTGAGGTGGCAGGTAGACCAGAGGGTGAGACTTTTGCATTCCCTGGGCTGATGGAACTTGGAAGGGAGTGTTTCACCTAAGAAAGATGGTATCTGTGGTATGGGAGAGGAACTCAGCTCAGGGATCCTGGTGGCTGTCCCTTTAGCTCTATCCCCAGAGCTACAAACCCCAGTTGTTCTTCACACAACTTTAGTCTGTTCTGCCCTCTCTTTGGAATGCAGGGTGAGTGGCTGGGAGTGACATTTTGTGCATTAGCCCTTTAAGAGGGTGCCTGTGTCTCTCTGTGTCTCTAGGACTACCACCTTTCCCTGGTGGACAGAATCCTTGCTGATTTTCATAGCCAGATATTATGTAGGCACCTTTTCCTGGCTCTAGTGCTCTGGGCTTGAAAGCCTGGCTTGGGGTTGAGACCCTGTGCTTCTCAGGCTAAACCCTTGCAACTGAGATATCCCTCCAGATCTCAACTAATGCCCACTGGATCAGGGCCAGCCCTTTTTGCATCTCTGCTCTTCCTACCAGTCTCAATGTGGTTTCTTCTATAAATCTTTGGTTATCAGACCTGTTCAGCTAGTCTTCAGTTGGTTATTCACACTGATTTTTCTATAATTTAGTTGTAATTTTTGTTTGGTCATGGAGGAGGTAAATGTGCCTTCCACCTACTCCACTGCCATCTTGGATCCACTTCTGACATCTTTCTTATTGATCTTTGCATTTATAAGCCCTTAGGATGTTTTATATTTATATTCTTATTGTAGTGTTAAAAATTCTCTTGTCTTTTCCTGGATTCTAAATTCCATAAGAGAAAGAATAATGCCCTTTTCATTTATCAATTTAAGCTCAAATCTTAGCACAAAGCTCAGTATTACGTAAATACTCAAGATATATATCTACATTATTGAATTATTTCACTCTAACTAAAAATCTTGGAGTAATGTTGACCTTTTTTTCCTTTGACTCCTCCATTCCCCATACTCTCTATGTCTAATCAATACCAGATCTGGCAAATTTTACCTCAGTTAGTTAACAATTTGTTCCTTCTTCTCTGTGCTATCATTGCCTTAGAAGTGCTTTTTAACTCTTGCCTGGGCTACTGTAATAACTTGCCAACTGGTTGCCTTCTATTTTGTTTTATCACCTCACATGTAGCCACCACCATGAACTAAAATCCACCAATGATCTGAATCTACCACTCTTCTTTGGGAAACCCTTTAATAGAACCTCACTGCTTATAGCATACAATACAAGTTATTTGCCTTAGCTCACAAGGCCCTTAGACAATCTGGTCCCTGCCTATATCACCACTCTAATTTCTTACCATTTGGCCTTGCTTTCTAAGCTTCCAAAACAGCAAACTACTTGTAATTCCCACCCCACATTATATATGCTGCTTCATCTCTCTCTTGTTTGTATACGTTGTTACTTTTATTTAAAAAAATATCCACCCTATAATTTGTCATACTACCTCTTGCTATTTCTCACTATTAACCTGGGCAATTCACACTTAGTTACATTTGGATCAAATATCATCTTTTCGAGGGAGCCATCTCTGACTCGCTAGGTTGGGTTACATGCCACTGTTTGGAATTTTACAATGTGCATCTCCATTATTTTACTTTACCTAATTGTGTTCAATTTTCTGCCTTTCCCTTAGATGGTGAGCTCCTAGGAACACATAGTAGATAATTCACAAATATCTACTGAATTAATTACAAAAATGAAAATATAATATTCAAAGTATATCAGTGCAATTACTTGTAACAGTAATGATATCCACTTACATAATTATTTGGTTCAGTGCACTTCACTCAATTTTATCCAGTTACTGCTCCCTTAGTCTTGCCACTCTACATTGGGTCTTCTTTGCTCAACAAGCTAAAGTTCTGACAATAACCTTTAACTGCAAAGAATTCAACACCTTCATTCTACATTGTATGTTTCCTCTATGTGAGTTTACATTTAACAAGCTCTGCAAATGAACATTATTACCTATATCAGAGCTTGCTCTAAGTCTTCTCTGAGGTCAATAAAGTTAATTCCCATGATTATTATATTATTATTATTACCATAATTCCAAATATGTTTTTAATTCTTGGCTTCAATATGCTGTCAATCATCCCTTGATATGTATACATATCCATGGTATTTAATAAAGATGTACTGCTTTATTTTAGAAACTAATATTTTTGAGAAATACCTCCTTAAAACTTGGTTTTTAATAATTTTTTTCAATTATAGTTGATATACAATGTTATATTAGTTTCAGGTGTATAACCCAGGGGTTGAACATTATATAACTTACTAAGTGATCACCCTGATAAATTGAGTACCCATCTGACACCATACATAGTTATTACAATATTATTGAGTATATTTCATATGTTGTATTTACAATCTTATTACTATTTTATACTTCTTAATTCCTTCATCTTTTCACCTATTCCACCAGCACCTTCCCATCTTTCACTCAGTCCCTCAACTCCCACCCCCACCCCTCTGGCAACCATCAGGTCTCACTCGGTGTCTATGAGTCTGTTTCAATTTTATTTGTTTTGTTCTTTAGATTCCACATATCAGTGAAATCATATGGTATTTGTATTTTTCTGACCAACTTATTTCACTGAGTATAATACCCTTTAGGTCCATCCATACTGTCTCAAATGATAAGATTTCATTCTTTTTTATGGCTTAATAATATTCCATTGTATATATGTAGCACAGCTTTTTTATCCACTTGCCTATTTATGGGCACTTGGGTTGCTTCCATAGCTTGGCTATTGTAAATGACACTGCAATGAACATAGGGTTGCATATATTTTTTCAAATTAGTGTTTTGGATTTTTTCAGATAAATCCCCAGGAGTGGAAACACTGGGTCACAAGGCAGATCATTTTTAATTCTGTTGAGTAAACTACATACTGTTTTCCAGAGTGGCTGCACCAATCTGCATTCCTACCAACAGTGCACAAGTGTTCCCTTTTCTCCACATCCTTACCAACACTCACCATTTGTGGATTAATTTGCAGATGATAGTCATGAGGACAAGTGTGAGGTCTCCTTAAAACTTTAGTTTATAACCAATAATTCAAACTAATTTGCTTAATATCTAAGCAATGAAAAACGTTGACCAGGTAATTATGATCAGGTTTTAGTTGCTTTAAGCATTTTTACATTTTGCTTAAATGAGTTATGGTTATATAAAGTATATGATTATGGTTGTAGATTATTCAGTATTAATTTGTTTATATGCATATATGTACATATGTCTATATATGTACCGTATATAGTTGTGTGTGTATATATATAGGTATGTATATAAATAAATATTCACAGAGAAATAATTATAGATATGTGTACATACAGATTAGTACATATATATATTACTTAGCTCAGTACACTGAGAGTCTCTATAAGCAATGTCATCCCAAGAGCAATGGGGACATTCAATACTTAGATATCAGTTTTTAAATACCATTCTTCAATAAAAAGAAGACAGGATCCTGGCCAGTGTGGCTCAGTTGCTTGGAGGATCATCCCATGTGCCAAAAGCTTGTGGGTTCAATTCCTGGGCAAGGCACATATTCAGGTTTTGCATTCAATTCCTGGTGGGGTGCATGTGGGAGGCAATCAATTGCTGTTTCTCTCTCTCCCTCTCTCTAAAATAAATCAAAACATATCCTTGGGTGAGGATTAAAAAAAACAAAAATGGTGTTTTTTTTTAGAGAAATGGCTGATTCTATTATCAAGGTAGGGAAAATACAATTTATGCTACTGTGGAAAAATATAGATGAATCAAACAGAAATAAAATTCTCATAATGCAATTTTCTTACTGCCTTAATGTTTATTCTTTCTTTTTACATATTATTTATAATGTGTGATTTGTATATGTACATTTTTATACAGAAATGGTATAATATTTTACATACTTTTTTTATTCTTTTAAATGACTAAGTAATGTTAAAGTTTATGAATATAGAATTTGTTGGATTGTTAATTACAAACTGTGCTTGATGAAGAACTTTAGAAATGAATTTTGATGCACTTCCTTAATTAGTACAAGAATCTTCTTTGAGAAATATTGTTCAGCTGTTTAAGGGTCCTTGCTCCTTTGTCCTTAACCTACATTCAATTAGTTAAACATTTACTGGAAGAGGTATATTGTTTTTGCATTTGATAAATGTTTTGATTTTAAATTTTTATTAGTAATTAAATAATTGTGTGGGGAAAAGCCATCTCTTTTAAACCCAAATATCAACATTCCTATTAGAGTTTAAAGGATCTTAGATATCATAAAGACTAATTTCTTTATGTTCACACATTAGAAAATTGAAGTTGAGAATGGTTAATTGCCATCTATGTGGTTGGTAAGATTATTTTTAACACAACAATGAAAAACAAGTCATTGTTTTAAATAGCTAAAAAGAATTTTTAAATAGCTAAAAAGTTGCTAACTGCTTTCAAAGGGGGAATTGATCCTTTTCTAAATCATAAGCTCTTCATTTTCTATGTTTATAATTTCAAATCGTCAACCTTACCCAGGAGGAAGAGTCATAATCAAATTAAAGGCAATGTTGAAAACTCTAAGGTACTTAAGTTGTTGAATTTCAGAAGGGATTACTTTGATAGGATTATTTCTCAGGATCAGTATTTGTAAATATTTAAGACAAAATATCTGAGGAACAGAAAAGAGAAACAAACATGAGTAGAATAACAAAGTATACAAATTCTTATTTGTTACATTTTATAAACCCTTCAAACTAAAGTAGTAGAGTCAGTATAATAACATTAATTGTATGTATCACATATATCAAATACCTTTGGAAAGCTTTAAAAATAACTGACCAGCATAATATGCATGGTATGTAAAATAGTGCTGTACACATATCATTTGATTCAGGCATGGTCCTTTCCTAAATGGGAAAGTCATCTTATTTAATCAACCTATGGTTTCATAAGAGACAATTACTCAAAAGAGGAGGGAGGAAGGAGGTATCTGCAGAACCAAAAATATAAGTGGAATTAATCTAAGTAATCAATGAGTTATCATAACCAGGTTGTTTCATTCTCACATCATAGTACTCATACACACTGACTTTTCATATAAAACTTAGAATATACCACTTAAATTTATGATCTTTACTTGATTAATATATTTCTTTCTCTCTGGTGACTCATAATAAGAGCTTACATTAACTATCTTTAACACTAAATTAAACCTTTTTATAATCATAAAGATCTAAAATTGGTGGAATAAATCATGCTCATTCTTGCAATTAGAAGTTAAGTCCTCCAAGTTTGTCTTTCCCTTTCCAAGATGGCTTTGGCTATTTGGAATCCCTTGCATTTCCTTACAACTCTAAGTCAGCTTGTCAAATTCTACAAAATAGGACAGTTGTAATTTTCACAGGGATTGCAATAAATCTGTAGATCAATTTGGAAGTATTGCCATCTTAAAATATTAAGTCTTCAGATCCATGAACATGGGATGCCTTGTCATCTGAATAGGTTGCCTTTAATTGCTTAACAATGTTCTATAGTTTTCACAGTATAAGTTTTGCATTTTTGTTAAATTTGCTCTCCCAAATTTTACTCTTTTTCATGTAGATAAAATTTCTTTCTTACTTTATTGTCAGTATTGTTTGTTGCTATTTTGTAGAAATAAAATTGATTTTTGTTTATTGATCTTGTACACTACAACCTTGCTGAAAACATTCATTAGTTCTAATTTTCTTTTTTTAGTGAATCCCTTTAGGATTTCTATATATAAGACCATGTCATCTACAATTAGAGATAGTTTAACTTTCTTTTTAAATCTGATGTCTTTTATTTCTCTTTTTTGCCTAACCTCCTTGGCTAGAAAGTCTAGTACAATGTTAAATACAAAGTGGCAAGAATATACATCTTCATCTGGTTCCTGATCTTAGGAGGAAAACTGAGTATTTCATCATTAAAGGTGATATAAGCTGTGGGTTTTTTGAGGATGCCCTTTATCAAGTTGAAGTCATCACCTCTATTTCTAGATATTGAATGTTTTTGCCATGAAAGGATGGTGGATTTTGTAAAATGTTTTTTTCTGTCTCTATTGAGATAACTGTATGGTTTCTCCCCTTTACTATGTTAAAATGTTATATCACATTGAATGATTTTTGTATGTTTATCCAACCTTGAGTTCCTAGGATAAATATCACTTGGTCATGGTGTAAAATTCTCTTTCTGTTGTTTTGCTAGCATTTTGTTGAGAATTTTTGCATTTATATTCATAAGAGATATTGTTCTGTAGTTTGTTTTTCTTTCCGTATCTTTGTCTAGTTTGGTATCAGCATATTACTGCTTTACTAGTTTGAATTGGGGTTTTCCCTTCTCTTCTTCTTTTTTTTTTTTGAAGAGTTTGTAAAGGATTGGTGCTAATCCTTCTTAAGATGTTTGGTAAAATTCACCAAGGAAGTTATCTGGTTCTGGAATTTTCTTTGTGGAAAGTTTTAAAATTACTATTGAACTCTTTCCTTTTTAGAGACATTCAGATTTTCTATTTCTTTTTGAGTCCATTCTTGTGTCTTTCTAGGTATGTGCCCATTTTGTGAAAGTTATCTAGTTGGTTTGTTTACAGTTATTTGTAGTATTCTCTTAAATCTTTTTTATTTCTGTAAGTTTGGTAGTAATATCCACTCCTTCATTCCTAACTTTAGTAACTCAGGTCTTCTTTTTTCTTGGTAAGTTTATTTAAGGTTAGTCAATTTTGTTGATCTTTTAAAGTATCAACTCAGTTTTTTTTATTTTTGTTTATTGTTTTTCTATTCTTTTTTTAATATCTTTATTGATTTCAGAGAGAGGAAGGGAGAGGGAGAAAGAGAGATAGAAACATCAATGATGAGAGAGTCTTTGATTGGCTGCCTCCTGCAGGCCCTCGACTGGGGATTGAGCCCACAACCCAGGCATGTGCCCTGACCAGAATCTTAGGTCAATGCTCAACTGCTGAGCCACATCTAGCTGGGCTCTATTCTTAATTTCACTAATTTGTGTACTAATTTTTATTACTTTCTTCTTTCTTTAGGCTTAGTTTGCTCTTTTTTATAGTGGCTTAAAATGGGAGATTAGGTTATTGATATTTCTTTTTAAATATATGTGTTTATAGCTATAAATTTCCCTCTGAGCACTGGTGAAGAGGTATCCCATAAATTTTGGTATGTTGTCGTTTCATTTTCATTCATCTTAAAGTATTTTCTAATTTCCCTTTTAATTTTTTTAATGGAATCATTAGTTATTTAAGAATGTGTTGCTTAATTTTTATATATTTCCAAATTTCTTTCAGTTATACTGAAAGAAATCAGTTGATCTTTAATTATATTCCACTGTGGCCAAAAATATACTTTCTGTGATTTTCAATTGTTTAAGTGTATTGAGATTTACTTTGTAACCTAACATATGGTCTGTCCTGGAAAATATTCTACGTGAATTTGAGAATTATGTATTCTTCTGCTATTGGTTGAAGTGTCCCATAGAGATCTATTAGGTCTAAGTGATTTATAGTGTTGTTCAAGTCTTTTATTTCTTTGTTGATCTGCTTAGTTTTCCTATGCATTATTGAAAGTGGGGTATTGAAGCTTATAACTATTGTTGTTGAAATTCTAATTTCTTCTTTCAATTATTTCAGTTTTTGTATTCTGTGGCCATATATATTTGTATATATGTATATATATATATGTGTGTGTGTATATGTGTATATATATATATATATATATATATATATATA